GCCAAGAAAACGGGTTTCAGGTGGAGTGGAGGTCCCTACATTGTGTACCCTTTCAATCCTTGGAAACCAGACACCAGACCCTGGAACCCGTCACTACCCCAATCCATATCCAGACTTACAAAAGTAACAAAGCCTGAAGCCAACCAACCTGTGAAGGGTTGCTGCGGGGCCAAGAAAACGGGTTTCAGGTGGAGGTCGTTACATTGTGTACCCTTTCGAGCCTTGGAAACCAGACACCAGACCCTGGAACCCTTCACTGCCTTCACTACCCCAATCCATGTCCATATCCAGACTGACTTGCAAAAGTAACAAGCCTGAAGCCAACAGACCTGTGAAGGGTTGCAGCGGGGCCAACAAAACGGGTTTCAGGTGGAGGTCCTTACACCGTGTACCCTTTCAAGCCTTGGAAACCAGACACCAGACCCTGGAACCCTTCACTACCCCAATCCATATCCAGAGTGACTTACAAAAGTAACAAGCCTGAAGCCAATAGACCTGTGAAGGGTTGCAGCGGGGCCGGCGGGGCCAAGAAAACGGGTTTCAGGTGGAGGTCCTTACATTGTGCACCCTTTCAAGCCTTGGAAACCAGACACCAGACCCTGGAACCCTTCACTGCCCCAATCCATATCCAGAGTGACTTACACTTACAAAAGTAAAAAGCTTCAAGGCCTGAAGCCAACTCCACGGATCGTTGCCCAGCCAGCGGACAATTCCTGGCAGTGCGTGCCCTGGACTCCACAGGCACACGTGCCGTCTGGCAAGCAACCTGCAGGGCATCTGCGTCAGAGGGGTCAACCTGCTTGCCGCCCGCAGCGAGCCGATGGCATTCACACGGACAGCCCTCCATCCACGAGGTTGTTCTTTCGACCAACAAGTGCAGTTGCAACAACATGTTTGAGTAGAGCCAGAACTCAGGGCTTTTCACGGCCTTCTCAAAAGCAGCCAGGTCCAGCTTGCCGTCTTCCGCCTCCTGATTTTCTTGAGCAGCAGCGCCATCCAGATAAAGCCTTCCAAGCACATCATCGGCGGGCTCTTGCGATCTGAAGCCAGACGGATTCAAGAATCGCTCCCGAGACCACGCCGATTGAAGAACATGCCTGGATCTCATCAGCCCCGGCAAAATGCCTGCGATGCCATTCCATCGCCAAAGGGCGGGCTTTACCAGCTTGACAACCTGATGCTTCAAGAATTCCAAGGGAGTCCCCAAAAGGCAGGATCCCAGGAAGCGCTGCCGCAAAGCATCCGTGTGAAGGAAGTTCACGACAGCCTTGAAACCTGGCAGCCACTCAGAGAAATGTTCAAGCGATTGGTCCACCTCGCGTACCATGTTGTGGCAGATGTGCAGGGTCCCTGGGCTGATCAGAGCCTCCGGAAATACGTAGAAGGACGAGTTTCCTTCGGCAAGAGCTGCAGCGCCAGTGTTCATGTCCAGACTTGCATCTGCATCATGGATTTCCAGATCATAACAAGAGAGCATCCATGGTGGTAGAATGTCTTGAACAGTACAGCCCGACACTTCTGCGACTCCCATTTCCGTGCCACAGTCCGTACAGAATCCTCGAACACGTTGCAAGATCTGCCTGTACTGACTGAAGTTGGCGCCCCAGTGGCGGTCCCAACCCCAAAAAAGAACTCTATCCTAGAATCCTAGAGCCTAGAGATTCTCGAGATAATATTGTAGCTGCCAAAATTCAACACTATTCCGAATTCCCAAAACCTGCTGTTGAAGTTGAGGTGCCTCAGCAAGGAAATGCTCTGTGTCTCGCACAGCAGCTTGTGGACCAAACTGGCGATTTTCTGCTCTACAGCAGATGCCCCACTTCCGACTCCGCCAGGCAGAAGCCTATGCATGTGAAGGCAGCGACTCAACAGTAGGCGATTCTCGTGACGTGCCTGAGCGATCTGTTGCATGAGGACAGAGTTGCCTTGCTCCCGTGCTTGCGCAAACAAAGTTGGGGAGGACTCCATGTACTTCGCTGCTGACACAGCTGCCTGCAGTGATGTGTCCGGCACGTACCGCAGCACACTAAGGAGCCAGTCCACGCCCCCCTGAGGAGATGCATCGAGCCAGATGAAGATTGGCCCTTTCATGCTCTCCAGCTTGTTGCTCCAGTAGGAACAGTACGCCATATCGACAAGGAGTTGTGCCCGCGATAGCGATGCTGCGGACGGCACTTTGAAAGCTGAGTCCTCTAAGCTGTCCAAGCCAGTAAAGCCAGGCATCGACTCTAAGGCCAGCTTCAGCACAGATTTCAACTCGCCCCGGTTGCGCAACTTCATCGCAGCACAGAGACACTTGACCAAGTGGCGTACGTCCACTGTGCTCCTGCGGCCACCCTCGTAGATACCCTGTGGCTCCGCTGATCTGACTAACCTCTGCAGCCTGAGAGCATGCTCTTCTAACAAAAGTTGCTCCGACGCCCTCTCATCTGCCGGCAGCTCTGCAAGAAGCACAGGCGACCAGCGCAACAGATCTCCAAGCAACTTCTCAGCATGTTCTGTCGTAAAAAGCAAAGACTGTTGGGAAGCCCCTGCGGCCCCTGCCGTCGACATGTTTCCAACGCTCTGCCCGCCACTGCCACTGGCAAGCTGCTGATGCTGCTGTCGAAACTCAACTCTCGGCACCCCAATTGCGGAAAAAAAATCCATGCACCGCCTGTGCGCAGGGTCCCTGGCAGGAGGCAACCATGCAACTCTGCTCATGACACTGATCCACGCACCTTTCTCCATCAATGTCAAGAACAAGGCGTGAGTCTGCATGCAAACGGGTGCCGTGAGAAATTCTCGAAGTTCAGCCTCTGCAACGCGAAGGTGTGCACATATGTCTTCTGCACGTTGGCCCGCTGCAGTGCAAAAATCCTGCAAGTCGATCGGAGCAGGACACCACATGGGCCTGGAGAGCCGCTGCGGGCAAGTCACCGTCAAAGGGCCCTGGAACATGCACAGGCTCGTACACCGCAGACTGAAAGCATCCGACGCTTGCTGCAGATACTCATGTAGATATGCTTCCTCCTTGCTCCAAGCAGTCAATGGTCCTCGGTATTCCAAGCCGGCCTCAACATTGACCAAAACCCTGACATCGGTCTCAGAATGCCTGCGGGTTTCTTTGTCTGTCCAAACTGAAGCCTTGCTCTTCCAATCCGGAACGTGTTCCTGCACCAGCTGAGAAAACCACTGGCTTCCCGGCAACTTCAACTTCATGTTTACCTTGCCACCTGGGCCTGTGCCCTCTGTTTGCATGTTCAGCCTGGCATATCTGCCTGCCAGCAGAAGCAACACCATGGTTAGCAATTCAAGGCGCAACGTTCTGGTTACCCTAAAGATCTAAACAAGACCATGCCTAATATCTCGTAGCTACCATGCTCTGCTTACCATGAAGAAATCAAAGCTATTGAAGATATGGGCTTGGCAATCTGCTTCGATTTCTCACAACTCCTCGTTGCTGCCGCTGAGCTGCCACTGCCCACAACAGAAACTCATGCTTCGATGCTTCGAAAGAAGAGGGCCTTATAAACCCCTGAAGGCCCTGAAAATCAGATAGGATGAGATAGTGAGTCACCCCCTGTACCCCAAATAAGAACTGACAGGGCCTACCGACCTTTCAGAAACAGTGACGGAGGTGTTGGGTGTTGGGTTTCTTTGGGCCATGGGCCGCTTGCTTGAAGGCTTCTGACAGTTCTCTGATGGGTCCTATCCGATTTCCCAAAACCACATAGTACACTATTTGAGAGATCTGTCAAGGGTTTACAAGGTTTTAGAAGGGAAAGGGCTCAGAAGGGGTTGAGTTATGGGGTTTAATTAAGCCGAAGTGACGCCTCCGAGTCTCCGAGACTCCGAGTCGCGGGTTGGAACAATCGTGACGGGTGACATATCCGGGCCCCCGACAAGAGCAATCCAAAAAAGGGTCATCGCAAAGACTTGCAAATACCGACAAGAAGCCCCAGACCCAAATGCAAACCGAAAAGACCACGCCAGCCTCCAAATCGCTGGCTTCGAGTCGTGAGGATGTGCTGACCTGGCGATTTTGGCTCGGACTCAGAACTCAGAACTTCTCACAACTAGGGTATAGGCCAAAGGGACGGCTCAAGCATCAACTGCGCACACGTCAAATCATGCGCTCAGCTTTCTCTGCAGAATGAAGGAGAATGGGCCAGTCAAAACAATAGCAACTGGGTGCCCTGCCCCCGAAATCGAATGGCGAGCGAGCCTGCACCTCAGACGACGAGGCACAGCCACTCACCCAGACAAGGTTTCAGCACAAAGGTGCACACTTCAAGCTGTTTTGCAGTGCTGCACAAAATCGAATACCGATGCCCGAACCCGAATCGGCCCGAACCCAAACCGAACAACAATCGAGATGTTGGCGCCGCACCGATGCCGATGGCCCCGCGGCGCCGACACCGAAGATCTGCTGACCTGGGCAGCTCAATCCAACGAAACGATCGTAGTCGTAGTAGCAGTAGCAGTNNCTGCTACTACTACTGCTACTGTTACTGCTACTGTTACTACTACTACTACTACTACTACTACTACTAGTACTACTCCTGCTGCTGCTGCTGCTGCTGCTGCTGCTGCTGCTGCTACTACTAGTACTGCTAGTACTACTACGACGACGACGACAACTACTACTACTGCTACTACTGCCACAAACGATTACTACTACTACTACTACTAGTAGTATTAGTACTAGTAGTAGTACTAGTAGTAGTGCCCAAGTGCAACGGCGGACGCAAGTCAACCTAGAGTACAACTGCCCAGAAAAGAAACCCATAACTCCGACTCCGTAATCCGCTCAATCTGACAATCAAGGTTGAGGCCCAGGCAAACGTGCGAAGATGATGGGGTCCAGACTGAGCAGCTATCCAGACAAGCATCAGCATCATGGATTTCCAGATTCCAGATCATAACAGGAGAGCATCCATGGTCCATGGCCATGGTGGTAGAATGTCTTGAACAGTACAGTACAGCCAGTACAGCCCTTTCCGTGCCACAGTCCGTACAGAATCCTCGAAGATGATGAGGTTGAGGTCCAGCCTGAGCAGCGGCATAAAGTCATAAATCATGAAGTACAGAAGTGGTCAGGAATCAGGCGGCAGGAGGACAGAATGCAACAGGACGAAGCACAAGTGGCAGGCACTCCCACAAGGCCCACGCAGCAAGATGATGAGGTCCAGCCTCCAGCCTGGGCAGCATAAAGAACGGATCGACTCGCTGATAGTGACATGACATGTCAGATGCCGAAAACATGTGACCATGTGGCATCTTTTTCCGGAAGAGGGTCTGTCTGTCACTCGATCAACGAGGCCATGCGACTGTGCGCCCGTCGCTCGCTAAGGCTATGAACATCAGACGGCCGGACTGGATCTTCTCGATATCATGAAGCTCGCCTTGCACAGCACTGCTGTCTCCTCCGACAGATTCTTCGCCCCATGTCACCACCGAGGCATCCTCCTTGATGGCTGCAAACGCGCCACATGTGGCTTGGATGTGCCTGACATGACTCTTCAGCTGCTCTCGCACTGCACTGCTGTCTCCACCTTCGAAGGGATCACCCCAGGTGACAACCTTTCCGTTCTCAAGGATGGCAGCAAAAGCATCCCCAGTGGCACAAATCTGTCGTACATCCCTCAGCTGGTCCTGCACGGCACTGCTGTCCCCACCGAGAAGAGCATCACCCCAAGTCACGACCGAGCCGTCCCAAATCAGGGCAGCGAACGCACGCTCGGAAGCTGAGATTGCGACAACCTGCTGTAGTTGACCTTGAACAGAAGTGCTGTCGCCACCTGTTGCAGCTTCACCCCAGGTCAAAACCGAGCGGTCTTCCATGATGGCAGCAAAAGCCCACCACGAGGCAGCGATGCAGAGAACCGGCAGTGGGGGAGTTGCCGCTAGCACATGTCGCCCCCAGGTCACGACAGATCCATCCTGCTTGATCGCTGCAAAGGATTCCCTGCTCGCCTGGATGCAAAGCACATCCTGCTTCAGCTGCTCCTGTACCGAACTGCTGTCGCCACCACAGGTGTTATGCCCCCAGGTGACAACTGACCCATTGTCAAGCAAAGCTGCAAAACTCAACTCCGTAGCCGCAATCTCTTTGACAGAAATCAAAAAAGGCTGCACATCCCGGCTGTTGCCACCGCCCAGCTCTGAGCCCCAGGTTACGACAGTTCCATCGCCACGTATGGCAGCAAAGGCACAGTCCGTGGCCTGGATTTTCACCACTGTGCTCAGAAGGTCCTGCACAGCACTGCTATCGCCGCCACTTGACCCGCCCCAGGTGACGACGTTGCCATCGCGGATTTCCGCAAACGAATCCTCCGTCGTCTGCACTTGCACGGATGCATCCACGACATGAAAGGAGTCGCGAGTCGCCGCGACCGCGATGGCAACTCCAGCCATCTTCTTATTATTACTAACAAGTTAGAAGCCACGATGCGACGATGCCACGATGGAAACTTATCTGATTACAATTACAGGATATCGGATGACGACTTGAAGCCTTGAAGCTTGAAGAGCCTGCAGCCTGCCCGGGCCCCTACCTGACAGCTTTGAGGCTTCGCCTTTGATCGTGAATCCAGGCTGCGGCCGAAGCTGTGAAGCTGAGCCTGTTCTAATTCTAAGTTTCCATGTTCTAAGTTTCCATACCCACAAGCCCACAAACATACGACACGGCCGGCACGCACTCAAAGAATCTGAGACCCCTGGCCCACTGCAAAATGAAGATCGTCTCTCGAAGAGCAGCAGAGGGTCACCTGGACGAAAAGGAGGGGCTGAGGCAGCTCAGGGTTTCCGGGAACAAACTCGTCTGCCCTACCCCTACTCTACCCTACCCTACGCCTGGCAGCAGTCTCATTTCCGCAATGCTCTGCCTTGAACCTAAGCTCCCCACTTCCTGTCGAGATCAAACTGACGAGATGCTCGGACCTGGGCATGGGCTACATACGGACTAATCCACAACACTTTCCGCCCTAAGCTGCAAAAGCATTGCACCGACACCGAAAAGGAACCCGCGCCGCAACCCCCAAACCGTCCCAGCCCAAACCCAAACCGAAAACCAATGAAGCGTTGGTGGCCCTTGGCACTTGGTGGCAGACCGATGGCAAAGGATCGAGATGTGCTGACCTGGGCAGTGCACTGCAGCCCAATGGAGTCCAACGAAACGAACCAATGAAGAGGCAGGCATGCAGATGATGAGTGGCAACTCCAAAAAACAATCAGGAAGCGAAGCCCGAAATTCGATCCCAAAGACGAACACCAGTCACCAGTCACCAATCAATGTGTAAGCCAGTGTAAGCACCAGGCCGAAGGCCCCAAAAAACAGGACCGCCGCGAAGACCTGAGTCGAATTCAAAAGTTCAACCAACTAACCGTAACCGACTAGCGCCTAGTGCTCACAAATGCAGACAGCGAGCAACGACTCAGAATAACGTGATCCCTAAAAGTCATGCGAAGGACACACACACACACACA